GGGTTCTGCTTCTGTAACGGGGGAAAGGGAAGGGACGGTATTTGAAGGGGTATAACACCGTTTATAAAGGCGTTATACCTGGCAGTCTTGTACCATAGCGCATTTATAAAAGGTGTTATACATATAGTGCCCTTTTAAAGGGCGCTATATGTATTTTGGTCACTAAATTTTTTTTCTACGTATTTCGATCGTTTGAGTCAAAAAATATCACATTTTGGTTTCGGACCAGTGTTCTTCCTCTATATCTACTTTTTCGTTTTTGCCGACACAGCTAGTACGTAGCCCGTCAAATACAGCACTAAAATGCATGAAAATCACTGGAACCTGCAATTTTACGGATTCAAAAGAAAGAAACACGTGCTTGTTTTTACATTTATAAGTTAAGTAAAGCTGCTGAAATTTCTCAATCTTGGTTTGTGTGTGGAGGAACCGGTTCCTCCGTCTTTTTCTAATTTTCTGTTTCTGTTCTTCTTTTCGTCTTTTGCATTAATTGAAGATATGCGTTTGGAGTCTTTCCTTTTTGTAGCTGTCTTGTCCAAAAAGTTGATAATACAAGAGTAGGATTAATATCCTGCTTACTAGCTTAGATCTTTAACACATATAGAGTAGTTTAAAGTTTATGAATTTTGAATTTGTCGCGGAACCGATAGTTCATCTTATTTATAAGTTCATAATTAGATATTTATATATATTTAATAAATTTTTTAGTATAAATACAATGTTTAAGCAAAAGTGACTGCTAACTCTCGTACATGGGCCATCAATAGGTACCCTTCTTCCATACGTTCTAGCATTCCTGCTGTGAAGGAAGACTGTCACTGTCATGACTTGGATATTATTGCTCCTGATCTATCAGAGCGAGTCACCCTACCTAAGGAGGGTTTTACATATTTTTACACTTATCCTTTACTTTGGGTGTGTTCTCTTTGAGTGGAGAGCTTGACTCCATAACTGCGGAGTTTTGCCTCCGCTACCAAGTGTGTTTGGCCCAAATATGTCCTTCTGTGTGGAGGACGGTTGTTTGCTTTCGACGTTTGTGCCAGGAGACTGGAGAGGAGCTAACCTTAGCTCATATGATGAATCTCTATTCTCCCAAAATCTTTCGCGGGAGAATGATAAACCTCTACAAACATGGCCACCATGCTTTGTTGTCTAGCATGGATGATGACAACGACCGTGGGTGGATGGAATGGTTCGTTGCAGCTATCACCAATGATATCATTCCGGCAACGGCTCCATCCTTTCCGGCCACTTAGAACCGCACTCGTAAGCTCTTTATTTAGTATTTCATTTTACTTAAATATTTTTCTATAGTCATATTGATCCTCCATTATTCGCCTGGTTCAGCAACTCGATGGATCCCACTGGTGGTTGAAGGTTTGGATCGGTGGGTACAAAATATCTTGGATGTTACGACGCCCGAGACTCGCTTGTGGAAAGAACTGACCCCTCAATACGGGTGGAAGGCCAAGAATCATGGTCATTCAAACTCACCTAATTTCAATTTTTCATGTGAAGAACTTGATTGATCCCTTCTAACCTGTCTATGAAATTAGGTCTAGCCGCGGGCTCTGTTGCTGTTCCCGAGGAGGATGTCTTGGCTGATCCTGCTGATGCAGCGAGGCTGCTTCAGGAGGCGCTTATTCGAACAGGTGTCTCCGGGCCTGCTTCGGGAGCAAATGTTTCTTTACAGAATCCCCGATCGGAAAATAAATAACAAAAGAGAAGATGCTCCTCCGTAGCTGGGGAAATGAATATGAGGGCAAGGACCGATGCCACCGAGTCATATCCGGTAGTAATGGTGACTGGCCCTCTTTCCGCGCCGGTCATAGACACTGTGACGATCGACGATGATGAAGAAGCTAGTGATGGGGGAGCTTCTCTAGATAGAAGACGACGATCCTCATCATCTCAACGGGATGCTCGACCTGTTGAGATAGTTACACCAACCGAGGACGATGCCTCGACACTTTGGGGAGAGTTTGATTTGGTAAATAATGTCAACTCCCGTTTTCGGCCTAATTATTGTGTCCGGTACTGTGGGGCTGAGTACCGAATCCCTGCCGTCTTTGGTTGGCAAGCATCCAACAACCAGCACCGCATTTGATTCAGTTGCTTCTCACTCTTCAACTCCATTACCTTCATCTCTATCTTTACCAACACCAGTAAATGCTACATCACTTCCAACTTTATCCACTCTTCCGCCAGCAATTGCTACATCATCTTCACCGGCCGTACCTGACCATGAAGAAGGTGTTCTTCTTCTACAGTCCCTAGTTCATGGGAATTTGGGGCAAAATTATACTGCCCCTTTTGAAGATCCGCAAAGGAGGAGGAATGTTACTCTTTCAGTCTCTACCGGATACAACTTGATATCCCGGCCGGTGGAGCTTGATAATTATCTGAAGCCTTTGGCTTCAGATAAAGACTGAAAAAAGATTCATGCACTCTCGGGAGAGTGTTTGTTGAACAACGCCATGCACAACATTGCAGCAGTATGTTCCTTTCTTCCTTTATTACTCCTTCTATTTTTGGGTATGAACATATCCTGAATTTTACCCTTCTTACTTTGTAGGCCAACTTTCTTGTTTTCGAGGACCTTCAGATGTTGATTCATGAAAAGGAAGAGATTACCTCCGCACGGGATCAGCTTTTGGCAGAGCAGGAGCAACATGTCGCTCGTCTTTCCGAACTGGAAGCCAAAACTGCTGAGGCTATTGTATTGGAGGCTCGTTTGCAGCAAAGCGAGTAAGAAGTGGTAACCCTTAGCCAAGAAATTGGCCCGATGAGGTCAGATTTGACGATGCCAAGGCCAAGTGGGTTAAAGTCCATAATGTCGTTCTTGCTGCAACCGAACGTGAGGCTGCCTCTGCTGAAAGAGTGATCTAATATATAGTTTTAACTATTGCCGATGTCTAACCAATTTGTTTAATCTCTCTTGTGTTATCATGTTGAACTTTATTGATTTAGTTTTGAAATTTTTTTTTTCAACTGAGGCAACTGACATAGAAATTGATCACGGTAATTGAATTAACACTTTTTACCTGATTGAGTTTGCCAATTAGAGCATTCTTCTACTTATACAGTTTCTCTTCACACTTTTAATTCTAAATATAAGTTGAAACAAATAATATTATAGTAACTATTATGTTTCAAGAGTCATTCAATGTTAAGGATGAATTTTAATAGTTACTTATCAATGTAGCTTGAAAAATATCTACAAAGGCACTCAAAGAATGAAGAAAAATTACTCTAAACTAACATTGTAAGAAGATCGATTTAAGTCGGGACGAATTAAAGACATGAAATAATTAGTAACTACAATTTAAAATGTGTAAAACTTTTAGCTATAACTATTTTAACTAAATAATTTAAAATTTTCATCAATAGTGTGTGTATATATATATATATATATATAATTCATAGATTTTGGGCCCTAAGTAATTTGGGAGCCCACGACCATTGTCGTAGTGCCATTATACTCCAGTCGGCCCTGTACATATATTGATGAGAGATAAAAGTATCCGATAAAATGAATAATGTATACGCGAGGTGGTTCGAACACTACCGCAGATGAGAAAGAGAAAAAAAAAAAAAAGCTTTAAGTTCCTTCTAATATGTAATTTTCTTACCTACTTTGAAAAGTACACTCAAATTAGATGGTCCAGTCTTTCTTTTCTGGCTTTAATAGAAGCGTGTCACACTCAAAAGATTAGAGCCTTTTATAGGCCAACCAGGCTTGTACTTGTTAATATCATAACTAAGTAACTAACCCGTTTTAATGCCTTTGCGCCTAATCCTATATAACCTTTTCTAAAATAATTACATAATTCATCAATAATTATAATCTAATATATAGTTTAAGTTTTCCTTTTGAAAAGAAGTTGCCAAAAGAATTTGCCATGATTGAGCCCAAATCCTACTTGCATAAGCCACATGCAAACTTCCCCCGCCCCCGCCTCGCCCAACCAAACATCGAGGAATATGGCTGTATTAAATCTTTATTCCATGATTGTTTTTGCTTATCCATCGCACCAAACGATCCTTAAGCGATTGTTTGTTTGAAGATAATTTATGTTGAAATTAGTTATACTGAGATTAGTTATTCTGATATTATTTTTTATCGATTGTTTATGTTGTATTAATTTTGAGATTGTCAATTTTACTATTTTATTTTTGTATAAGTTATCTCAATACTATTTTAATTCTAAGATAACTTATTCCAAGATTAGTAATCAAAGAAAGGATAATGAGGTACTAAATTCCGAGATATTCTAAATATTTTAAGATAACTTATTTCTTGTGATTATAAAGCTAGCTACCTATTCCTCTTATATTAGACCGTCCATTTCTCTTCAGTTCCCCCACGCCCCACCGCCCACCCACACACACACCAAAAAAGGAAAGCTTAAGAGACGGTCCATTCCTCTCCATATATTACGACTTGATTATATATATAGTGAGTCCCTTGAAGATTGAACAACTAAAAAACTTAGAGAGAAAAACATGAAGTTTAGAAAAAAGAGCAAAGTACTTCTAGTTCCATATCCAGCACAAGGTCATGTCACACCAATGCTTAAACTAGCTTCTTTGCTACTTAACCATGGCCTTAATCCAATAGTCATCACACCAAATTTCATCCAAATTAACTCTAAAGAAGATGGTATTTCTATCATTTCCATACCAGATGGATTAGAAGATGGAACCCCTCGCGATTTCTTCGCGATAGAAAATGCAATGGAGAATTACATGCCATACCATTTTGAAAAACTTGTTCAAGAATATGAGTTTAGTGGAAAAGAAGAAGATGGAGTTGTGTGTGTGATTGTTGATTTGCTTGCTTCTTGGGCTGTTAAAGTTGCTAACAAGCTTGGTATTCAAGTTGCTGGATTTTGGCCAGCCATGTTAGCTACTTATAGATTGTTTGATTCAATTCCAGACATGCTCACAAATGGAATCATCTCAGAAACAGGTAATAATATTCAGTTTATTACTTAAACCGAGATATATCCACTTTTTTCTTTAGCTTTGGAGCAACGGTAAAGTTGTCTCTGTGTGACCTATAAGTCGGGTTAAAGGCCGTAGAAGTGGTAACTAATGCTTGCATTAGAATAAGTTATCTATATCATACCACTTGGGGTGCGATCCTTCCCCGGACCCTGTACGCGTGTCTTGTGCGCCCCGGCCTACCTTTTTTTTAATAAATGATTTACCCTTTTTTCTGTTACTTTCTTGATTTCTGTAGAGCATTAAAGTAAGCTTTTATCTTCTGTTCTACTCTTAATCGCAGAACCTAAAGCTTAAAAAATATGTAAACTATTCCGTTAATTACTTTAAATCGGTCACCAGAACTAATTATAGTCAACTTAAATTGGTAACTTGGAAAATATAGTAAGTAATGTGATAAAACATTAATTAATTATGATATGTATTAATAAGATACAGTCAAGTCTCTCTATAATAATATCATTTATTTTTATATTTTTTTTATTGTTATAGCGAAGTGCTGATATAAAAAACATATATTATAATATAGCATGAAAATTTATTATAGAAACTATACTTAGTTTTAGAGTTGGGTAAACAGGGAATTTTATATGATAAGTATGGGTGGAAACCTATAAGCTTATATTATAGACAAGACTTGCCTTTTCTCGGAAGCATGTTGTATTGGACTACAATATCAATGAATATAAATTAAATTGATCATTATTTATCATAAATGTCTAATCAGAAATTTGGTATGGATCGAGTAAACTGCGAGGTACGTGACGTTTGTTTACTGGTTTAAAGGGACTAAGAAAGGCCGTTTGCTTAGCGCGCGCAATTAGTTAGTTAAATACTAGCACTAATTAATGACTAGGTCATAGTCAACTTCTCACATTCTAACATTATTATGTCATATTAAAGTTGACCATAAGAGATTTTATTATTTTAAAATGAAGATGTATGGGATAAGAACATGATCAAATGAAGCTTTCGGAAGATTAGTTATTTTTTTCCTTTTGAAGATTACTTAACTCTATGTGTATATCTTATTATCCACAGATCCCACTTATGAAAATTTACTGGATTTGTTGTTATTGTTGAAGATTATTTAACCATAAAGCTTCCATTCCGAATCTAATTTTGAAGTTAATTGACATGAGTAAATAGCAAGTCGTTATGTTCACATTCCCCTCGGAGAATTTGGACACACTCAATACACTCATTTTACGTTGAAGCTTTGTTAACAGAAAGGGTGAAGACTATTTGCTCACGGCAAGGATATGAACTATCCAAAAGTTTAACCAATGACAAAATTGAGTGATTTAGATAGTAAATGAGCAAATTTGAATCTTTTTCCTAGTCAAATATTGTCAATTTAAACATACAATATGCTTAGAATCTCTTCCAATTGAGAAACCTATGTTTAACAATAATGATCTCGCAGGTTGTCCATTGCACAATGGTCCTATATCCATCTCACTTGGCCAACCTACACTTAGGTCAGATAATTTACCATGGCTTATTGGAAATACAACTGCAAGAATTTCAAGATTCAAGTTCTGGACTAAGA